GTGCCTGTCCCTCCGCCCCGGACAAAACCATGGCGATAGCTGCAGTCAGCGAGGCGGAGACCCGGCTGTGCGGCAACTGGTAAGAAACGAAACCGGATTGCGCCGGGGCCTGTCCTTCGGGCCGGCAGGCTCGGGGGTTAGGTAAACGAGCGGTATCTATTCCCTTGAAACGCTGTGAGACACCGGAAGGTGCAAATAAACAGCGAACATACCGTCTTTTTATAAACGTTTGGGGTTTGGCTTTACCTTCTCAAGTGTTAACGTCTTGTAATTTCCCCAACCGTTGCTCCAGTTTCGGATTTAACGGGCAACTAGATGGAAACCGAAGCATTCCCACAGAAATAAGAGACCAGATTTTCAGCGGGGTACATGTGAAGAACGGGATTCCGAGTGTTTGTAGCGGCGGTGTGGCTGGGGAGCAGAGATGCAAAAATAGCACTGGGCACATAGTGTGGTGGTGGTTGTTTCTCTTTGATAACAGTTCTCTTTCTTCACAAGCTCCAGCGTTGGTAGTGCATTTACTGATAATGATGTAATCTCAGAAGTTGCATCATCTTGAATACAAGCAACTGCAGAAATTAGCTTTTTTTTTATTTATTTTTCCTCAGAGAGACGTGGGAATCCATAGGTTTCTTGCAACGTTAGTCTGGTTTGTTTGCAAGCAGTGAGTGTGGCAGTTCAGGTGCTGCTCTTGGGCTTCCTTGCTTTGCCAGGCTCTTGGCTGCTTGGGATCTGGCGAGGGAGGAAACGGCACAGCCGTAGCGTTTGTCCTTTCTGACACAGAAGGCACTAAGCAATAGGTTATAAAGTGAATTTTGGTGGTTTGAAGGCCGATTTCTTGTGTGCGGGGCAGAGGGGAACGATGCATCCATCTAGAAATGATGTTACCTGCTTGAGGCAGGAGGAAGGGCTAAGCTCCTAGTGCCTCAGTTCTTTTTACACCTTTTGTGTTTGTAAAGCCTTGCATCCTCCTCAAGAGAGGAAAATGGGTACCGTAGAAAGGAGGTGAATTGGGGAATTTTGGCTACAGAGTAATATGGTTGCTGCTATCGTTCCCTGAGCAGATCTGGCTTAACAGGATCTGTTATTTATTTGCCTGTCAGAGCCAAGTTATTTTCAGGAAGAAACTTTTATCTTCTCCGATTAGTTTATTAACTTCACCCTGGTGAATTTGTCTTTTGCATAAGGAGGTAAACCCACCTTGATTTTTATCTTAATGCAGTGTGAAAACTGTGACCTTTGCATGCTATATACGTTAATGTCCCAACTATGAAGGAACATGGAAGCCTGGTTGGGCTTGCCTTTCTCTTCCGTTACTTAGTTCTCTAACCCGTGAATTCATAGAAAGCTTTCTTAGGATTTTTTTTTTTTTTTAATGAAAAACTGCTTGAAATTGTCAGTGTATTTTCTGAAAAGTAACCTCTGTGACTTTCTTGTAGCAAAAAGGATGTTCCTGTTGCTAATTTCATCATGCATGAAATCCACTGTAGCAGAAACATCGAAGTGTGCCGTTACTGCAGTGACTTAATCCCAAAGTCTGAAATGAAGAACCATATTGAGTCTGAACACGTGCAGGTGCGAAACAGGTTCCTCCTCTAAAATTACTGACTTCTATGGCAATTAATCTAACGAGGTCTCTTCGTTGTAGGTTACCTGCAAGTGTGGAATGAAGATAGAAAAACGTCTCTTCGAGGATCACGAGGTTGGTGGACTTTATGTACTTCCAAGACACTTGGAAGATGCTCTGCGGTATTTCCAAGCACCGGTTCCAGAGCCTTTCTGTCAGCCAAGACCTGGATTCCAGCCTGTGATTGATGCATCCTTTTTATTGGACCATGCGTTCTAAATTCACGCCCTCTGACAGAACGTGGCTGGAAAGGGCCTTAAAGTGGTGGAGCCTGCCCTTATAAAAGGGGTGTCTGTGATAATCGGTGATTTTGCCCTTATTAGAGATGAAGATGAGAAACGATAGGCTGCTTCAAAAGTGCAGACTACCATTAACTTGACTTTTTTCATTCCTTTAACCTTACGCGTTTCTGACCCTGCTGCAGTCATTGTGTGAGTTTTAATAACTCATTGTGTCCAAACAGACTTTTAAAATAACTCGTAAAATAAACTAAAATGGGGCACAGCGGGATTTTCTGAGTTTCTGAATCCAGTTGGCTGCTGTCACGGGCAATCTTGATAGAAATGTCAGTACCTTCCCTTCCAATGGACTCATTTAAAGGCGGCCCTGGAAGTGCTTATCAGTGAGTAAAAGAGGATTTTCTTTGATGATATGTCCAGTTCAAAACCCTGGAAGTAGCTTATCCTGCACGTTTGCGTGTAGCTCTTTTAGTTTTGTTTATAAAGCAAATGCTGATTTATTATTGCAGCATCTGCGATTATAACATGTATTTCACCTATGTTTAACTCCTTTTGAGGGGCAACTTAACCTGTCATTCAGTGTAGGGATAGGGAAAAGAACACAGGCAAGCAATTCTTGCTGAGTAGTAAACGTGCTGTAAATCTGTTCCCTAATATAACACACGCTAACGTGTTTTTAGCAGTGCTCAGTGAAATGTGAGTAGTACTGGATGTCAAGACCGTATGTAAAAAGCTAACTTCAAAAAGCACCCTGTGAATCTGCTGTCCAAATGTTTGTTAGAGATTTAAAAAATAAAACGTTCTGAGTATTCAGAGTGCTTCAGCTGGTATGTTTATGACCACACAGCTTATACAACACGCTGTTCTTCTGTGTATCGCACAGTATCTGATTTTGGGCTGTTCTTTAGCGTAGCTTTGGGTCTGGCTAAAGGAACAACAGGCCACTCAACTCTTGAGCAAACTGAGAACCTGCCTCCACCTTTGCCTCAGTCTTCCATATGCGAAGAATAATCCCTCCTTCTTTTTCCAGGCGTCAGCGTGCCCTCTGCGTCCTGCCGTCTGCCAGTACTGTGACATACAGCTCACTTTCAACAACCTCCAGGACCATGAAATTTACTGCGGAGCTAGGACTGAGAGATGCGGTGGGTGCGGACGTAACGTCATGCTGAAAGATCTCAAAGAGCATCCGCGAGCCTGTGGGCGAGAGGTGACGCGAGTAAGAGGAAGCAGAGCAGTGCCTCGCTTTGAGGATGAGGATGCAGATTTGCACGCCCTTGGAGACATTAGGAACCGACTGAGATCAGGTAACTATGCTGGGCCTTTGCGGAGAATGCCCAGGGTGCTGGAAAAGGAGATTTATAGCAGCTGTGCAGGAGACAAAACACTTAGGGACGTTAGCAAAAGAAATGTTTCAGCAGCACAGAGAAATCAAAAGAGGAATAATTGGCTTCTAATGGGTGTTTGGCAGCCGATCCAAGTATAAGGTTTTGTAATTGCTTTCTGTGAATAACGAAAGCTCCAGAGGCAATGTGAGTAGGACTATTTTTCCATGGAATAGAACTGCAAAGGTACAAGCCAGCTGTGTAGAGGACTGCTGAGGTGCCCAGTGTGAAAGCCCAGCCCACTGCCTGTTCTTTTGTCTCAAAGTATCTAGCTTAAAAATTGGAGTTGTTTTCTCACTGCAAATCCTGTCTGTTTTCATTCAGTGGCTGCACTCTGCTCCAGTTAAGTAGACAGGTAGGCAAGATCTGGATGTGGGTTCGCATAGGTGGTGCTGGGCATTTCTGCAGTAACATCCCTGTAGCTTTCCTACCAGAAAAGATGCCATGGTTTTCTTCTGTACGTGTCCAATTCCCACCCTTGTCAAATGTAGTATCGTTAAAAGGAAGTTGTTTTCCCGTCGATATACTGAAGAAACAAAGCTGAAGTGTTTCATCCTTGTGAAAGGGCTGAGACTACAGAATATTAATCGGACCTTGTCCACAGTGTAGGTCACAGAAGGTTCCTCAGTGACTTCGTAAAGCTCCCAGGAAGCTTAAGTTCAAGCTTTTGGAGTAAGAGGAATGACTTTCTTCTTTTTCTTCTTTTTTGCTTGTTACAAACAAAAATAGGATGAGCGTTTTCCTTCTTCCTCCTGAATTTGATACAGGTGTCCTAGGCTTTGAAACACTTGACCTCCATGAGTGTCCACGTGTGCATGGGTGAAACCCTCGTGCTTGAGCTAGTCTAATGCACAGAAGTGAACTGCTTGTTGCAGGCTTAATGTGCTCTCAATTCATGATATTTATCTTTTGAAGAGGATGAACTGGAGCAGCTGGAGAGAAATGAAGACGCTCATTCTTCACTTTATGAAGAGTGGAACGCCGATTTAGACTACGTGTTGGCTCTTAGCCTGCAAAATGAGAATAATCCTCACGATAATTCTGCAGCTGAAATTCCCAGTGACTTCTGGGAAAACTACTACGCCAAAGAGTCCGTGCCATCGGCCCGTCTTAAAGAAACAGACAAGTCAAATATCTTCTCCTGTGACTCCTTAGTGTCTTTTAGCACGTCAAGCCATGTAAAAAGTAAGTATAAATGCTGCTGTGGTGGGTTTTTTTCCTTTAAAGTTTGAGAGAATGGAGAAGGAAAGAGAGTGTTCTTGGACTGGGCATGCCAAAGATTATCTGGGCATTTTAAAATGTCACAATGAGTCTCTTTGAGACCCCCTCTAAATCATTTTTAGATAATTAATATGCAGGAGTTTAGATGCTCTATGAGTACCAGTCTTCCTTCCTTTCTTAAATTTTATCTTCTGCTTCCTCAAAACTTAGCACTATTAATGTTTAAAAGAGTTTTTCAAAGAGGTATTACTTACGCAAGACAGCAAGGGGAGAAGAAATAAAAGCTGCAGGGAATATCTGACCTTGGTCGGTGGCGAGAGCTTCATAACAACTGAGTAGGTGACAACTTTCTTGCTGAAGTAAACATGAAAGGGAGGATCTGGGGGAGACCTGTAGTGCCAGCTTATTTTGAAAGGAGAAATGGATTTATTGAAGGCAGTAATAGGCTTTTTTACCGGACCGATCTATCTTTGAGCCCAGAACATTGTTCTCGCTCTGGCTGACATGAATTTGCTTATGTGAAACTCAGCGGGTGGGAGCAGCGTAACTGTTTCCTCAGCATTTGCTCCGGTGGCTGTCCTGTGGCACCAAACAGGAGCCTGTTGCTTAGGAATTTTGAAGATAAGTCGATCCGACTGCATCAGACTTCTCTGCAGTAGAGGACATAACCATTACTTACAACCGTTACTTGTTTTGCAGACGACGAGATCATCATGTTGCCCTGTGAATTTTGTGAGGAGCTCTACCCTGCTGACGATCTGATTCTTCACCAGGTTTAGTACTTTCTTGTGTTGTACCTCAGGGGTTGCAGTAAAGACTTTTTTCTGCCACCGTGACTGAACAAAGGCACGGTCTTCACCCTGGTGATGCTGTCAGAACTCTGGCAATTGTGTCTCTGCAAAGCACGGGTTTTAAAGTCCATCTATGCTCAACAGGAGAGCTAACTTTTCTGTGTTGCTTACATCACAGACAGGTTGTAACCCAGCAAGTGCCTTTGCCTCGTTCAGTAAAAGAAGTTCTCCTCCAAATCCACGAGAGCACGATGGTCTGCGTGCCGTCAGGTCCAGAAGCTGTAGGTCTCTCTCTTCGTCCCAGCCCCGAGCTGTCCAGGCAGAAAGAAACGTCATGATTCCCTGTGAATTTTGTGGCATCCAGCTAGAAGAGGAGACGCTCTTTCATCATCAGGTATTAAGCAGAACTTGATCTGTCGTATCCCATGAAGTTGTTCAAGAGCGACGCCAAGTCCTGCGGCCTCCCCTTGTGGCACGTTTCAGGAATCCAACTAACTGTCCCCTGTGTCATACCTTCCTAAACAAAGCCCCTTGGGTGCCATCTCAATCGTTGTGGTGTGCTGAGACTCTTGCTGAAAAATAAAGATTATTTTTGAAAGCCCTTATAACGAAAGCCAAACAATAAGCCCTGAAATGGCACGGTATAAATGTTTGACTTGTGCATAAAAATCGTGTTGAAACCAGGATGTATGAGTCACAGCTAAGGGGGGGGAGAGGAGCGGAAGCGCCTGCGTAGGTAAGGGCAAGTAGGCAACAGAGACCACGAATCTAGGAGGTGGAGGAATGTCTCTGAGGGCAGATGTAAAGAGAGAGAGAAAGGGTAAGCACGAACATATCTGAAGCTCAGCCTAAGAGAGAAGCGGTGGGTTTATGAAATGATGGGTGCTGCAGGGTGCTTCCTAGGGCATTCTGGTTTGTCTATGCGTTGCTGTCTGATGCGTCCAATACGGAAAGAATGCCAGGTCTTGGTACTGCTGAAGCTGTTCCTGCTTTTTGAGAATGCTGGACAGATACCAGCTAGACTGCTTGGTGCTTTAATGCTTCTGTACCCCTGAAGAGCAGATTTGGGGAGAGGTGTGCACGTGGAAGGGACAAATTCCTCTGGAATTTGCTGCTATTGCAGACAGGTTACGAAACTGCTGGACTTGCTCGTTTTCTGTTTCACAGCTGAAGGAACTGGGAAGTTAACAGTTCCCGCAGTCCTGACTAACAAACAAGTGAAGCTGTGTTTTGTTTGTTTGTTTTTCTAGGCTTTTTCCTGTTGATAGTAAATTCAGTATTAATAGAAATGAGGTCTGATAAAGTGTCATAGCTTATCCTATGCTAAATAGTAGTGCTTGACACTAAGGAGAAGTCCCCTCCTCCTCCCATTGCAGTTGGCTGTTGGGAGACTTCACGTTTTTTTCCCTTACCCTGTCTAACTCTTTTGGAAATGCAGAATGCAGAGGCTGCTTTATCTACAAGCTTAGAATCACAGAAGGTTTTGGGTTGGAAGGGACCCCCAGAGGTCCCCCAGCCCAACCCCCCTGCAGGAGCAGGGACACCTTGAACCACATCAGGTTGCTCACAGCCCCGTCCAACCTGGCCTGGAATGTTCCCAGGGATGGGGCCTCCACCCCCTCTCTGGGCAACCTGTTCCAGTGTTTTACCACCCTCATTGTAAAGAATTTCTTCCTTATATCTAGTCTAAACCTACCCTGGTTTAGTTTAAAACCATCACTCCTTGTCCTGTCACATAATATTTTGGGTGATGTTTGCGTACGATCATCAGGACTTGTTAAGAATTAGTGATGGGAGCTGAGTTGCCACAATACAGTTTGTTTGCCAACCTCGAAAAGGACGCCCTGTATTTAAAGTTTCGTGTTCCATGTAGTAGTCTTGGTATCTGACAAAGGTGACAAATGTTTTCCTTTCTAGTTCATATCTTTGTTTGGTGTCCTATGGGTTTCTGTCTTTGTGTTTTGTTGTTCCTTGACATCATTAACCTGCAGAAAAAGGTGACTTTGTAACAAGGATGGTCCACAGGGGCACTTGAAATCACTTTTAACTTGATTTTTGTCCTCGGATTTGGTTTTTACGATGGCACCGATACCAGGTCGATATCGGGAACTTGATCAGAGTTACCGTGGTGGTACTTCAGGGCTGCTTTCCCCACGCTTGGGACTGGCGTTGCAGGGTCATTTTTAGGTGTGGAGGCAGAAGGCTGAACAGGGGAGCGTCTGGTTGTTGGCTGGCAGCGAGGCCCCGGGTACAGGGTGGTTCTGTGCAGCACGACTGGCTCACACTCCCAGCTCTGTTTTTGCTTAGGTCCTGTGGTAGCTCCTGATTATTCCCAAGCCTCGTGTAAGAGAAAACGTGGGTGTCGGCAAGCGCTGTCTGCCTCTTTCTGAAAACAATTCCCTACTGACCTTAATCTTTCTGAGGGGGGATGCTCCGCAGTGTTTTTACAGGAATAAGTCTAACAAGCTGTTGTTTAAACAGTCAATGTATGTTTTGCTTTAGCACCACTGTGATCTGCGCCCGGCCAGCCCAGCAGCCGGCTTTCCATCTCGGCAGCCGCTGTCTCCTCGAGGCAACGGAGAGAGAAGGGAATCACCAGAGCTGGCTCGGAGACGAATCAGGCATCAAGGTGTGGGCAAAACACAGACTTAGGCAGGCTCTTTTCCTTCACATCCACAGGAGCCCTGTGCGTGCTCCAGGCTGAATAGGTGTCGTTACCCTGTTCCGTCTCCAAAATTTAAAAGCCCTCAGTCCCCTACCGTTGGCCTATCTTTACGCAAGAAAGATTAAATCACTGAAACTCAGTATCCTCAAAGATCTTGGTTATGAAGCCCGATGCTGCAGGGATGGAAGTGGGGTCTAGTTTTGCTGTCTGGGTGGTCTCTAATGTCTCGTGCTGCATTTACAATTCCTATTGAGCGCTGCTTTCTTGTCCTCTCAGGAGATGTTTCTCCTCGGTGCACAGAAGGCTTTGGGCAGCAGAGGCCCAGCTATCCTGCACGAGGGACCAAGTCACTGAATAATGTGGCAAACACCAGGAACGCGCCGTTGTCCTCTTCAGCGAGAGCTCGGGACGCTCCCGACTCGAGAGGGAAGCCCAGGAAGGTGGCTGGCGCTGAGGGGAGGCCGAAGAACAGAGGTGCAAGTGAATCTGCAGGGGGGACAACGCCACGTGCGAGACCTACTCAGAACTTCCACTCAGAAGCCTTCACCTCCAGCTTCTCGAGAACTTCTCCAGCCCAACCCAGGTAACGCCTTTCTCTTCTGTTCCAGGCAGCCGCGCGGGGCCTGCTCTAGAGCGTACGGGATCGGCGGCGCCGTGTGAGCAAGTTTTGCTCTGCCGAAAGCGGAGGGCACAGCCTTAGGCCTGGCAGCAGCCCGGCAGCAGGGGTAGTGACAAATGGATTCCGGTCCCCTGCCTCACTTCCTGATGGTGCAAACCTGGATCCCCTGGTATTTGCCTGTGGCTGAAAGGGTTTCACTGGGCTGAATTTGGCTGGTGCTGATCTGAGTTTCAAACAGCAGAGTTAGGCTTTTATATCAAAACAGAACGGACAGAATGGTCGCTGGGAGGCAAGGCAGGATAATGCCTTGTTGTCCATCCAGGGTAGCGCGCTCAGCTTGGCTTTTCTCTTTGCTCCATCAAAACTCTAACGTGCATAAGCTTAAACCGAAACCCAGAAGTTCCTGTGCGGTGCCTTTGTGGCTCATCACCTGCTGCTTTCATTGCTCCGCTCAGCTCGTGTTACCGCCAGCCTGAATCGCCTGTTGGGTTGTGTTTGGGTTTTTCTAGCTGCAGTGCAGTGCATGTTACTGAACCTGAGGGCAGCTGACTGGGATAGGGTTCTTCTGCTACACAATCTGGCCTTGAATGTTTCCAGGGATGGGGCCTCCACTACCTCTCTGGGCAACCTGTTCCAGTGTTTTACCACCCTCATTGTAAAAAATTTCTTCCTTACCTCTAGCCTGAACCTACCCTGTTCTAGTTTAAAACCATTTCCCCTTGTCCTAACACAGCTGGCCCTACTAAAAAGACGTTCCCCATCTTTCCTATAGGCCCCCTTTAGGTACTGGAAGGCCGCAATCAGGTCTCCCCGTAGCCTTCTTTTCTCCAGACTGAACAAGCCCAACTCTCTCAGGAGAAGGAGGAAGGGCTGCTTCCTCCACCTCCTGGAGTGTCCCTGGTGTGCGGGAGCTGTCTTTGCGCCGCAGGAGGAGCACAGAAGGGCGTAGGCTTGCGCCAGCTGAAAGTGTCCCTGCTCTTCTTCCGCAGCACCAGCAACGGGGGAGCACGGAGCCTCGGGGCGGCGGATGGCCCGCTCGGCTTCAGGCGCAGGAACACCAAGGTAGGGAGGGGAGCGGTGCCTCGCGCCGTGAGCGGCGTGCCAGAGGAAGCTCCTGGGTTGTTCCCCTCGGGTGGGTGCCCGGGGGAGCCTGCCAGCCGCCTCTCTTTTCGCAGTGGTTGTGCCAGGATGATGAGCTTATTTTATAATCCTTCCTGCCTCAGGGAGGTTTGTATCGATTGGTTTGTATCAAACCCAGCATTTTTACTACTTTTTTTTTTTTTTTTTTTTTTTTTCCCCTCCCCCTTCCCTTTAGGCAAAAGCCCAGCGCCCAGCACCTGGTCACCCAGAGGAGAAGTGAGCCACCACTTTGGGAAAACGCGCTTGGCACGCCGCACCCTACCCCTGTGTGCTCTGGTACTTACCCGAGCGCAAGTACATTCCCCTGTCGCCAGCTCATTGATGACCAGCTATGAATTTAAATTTTTATAGGCAGTGATAATTTTTTATATACGTATGTATTTTTAATTTGGGAGAGTATACTACAGGTTTTTACTCCTCTGGTCTGGACCAGCAACATCCCAAGCCAGCAAGCGCACTTCTGCCTTGGGAACCACCTGGGTCCTGGCTCCATCACACCCCGTGAAGAGAGAAAAGAGAATTTTTTTTGTGGCGCTGATCTTCATGCCCGTGCCCTGCTGCTCCCGCGCACGGCGGTGGCCATTCCAGAGCCAGCCAACGGTAGATGGGAAGCAAAACCGCGGGGGGGGAGCGCTGGCCCTGGGAGCTTGCCCCCGGCCCTGCTGCTCGGCTGGAGAACACCCAGCCCGGCCCCTGCAGCAGCAAGAGCCGAAGGGGGGGGGACCGGGGGCGTCACCCCCGTCCCTGCAGCTCAGCCTGTTCCTAAAGCGTCGTGGTGTGCAGCAGCAGGGTGTGCGCCTCCGGCTGCACCTCACGGGTTGGTACAGGATGGGCCCAGGCCCCAGAGGGGGAGTATGAGGGCCGGGGGAGAAGGGCCGAGCCCGGGGCTGTGTTGTAAAACGCTTTTTACTGCTGTGTTAGTCCGTGCTTTTTAAATGCCTTGGAATAAAATTTATCCCGTGCTGTCCCCAAGCGCTGTGCCGCGAAGCGCTCTTACGGGAGGGTTGGGGGATCAGCTGGCGCGGGTGGTGGGTACGTTTGTCACCCCACACCGAGCCTTAATGTGTGTTCCCCATTAGTGCCTGCCTCAGGGCTTTGGGCATTTGCTCTCCCAGAGCTGTTTCAGCCCGTGTGGCGCGGCGTGAGGGGAGGGGTAAGGCAGGAGCTGGCCAGGCTGGTCTGGGCTGATGCCCCTGGGCAAGCTCTAATGGCCCGGGGCCAGCAGATGGCACCAGCAGGGCTCATTCGCCCCACGCTGGCTCCCCCCCACCCAGGCTGCAGCATGGCTGACTGACCATGGCCCAACTGCTCTTGGTTTTTAAAAGAAAGACATTTTACGGCCGCTTCCACCAAATGTAAGCATTTATTTTTACAAGAAAAGCAGGATAAAGGTATTTAAAAAAAAAAAACGAAACCAAACCAACAACCAACCAGGGAGCGCCCAACCTTGCAGTGGCATTTCTGGGGAGAAGGGCTCTGGCAAGGCCAGGGGAGCTACGCTGGCTTTTCGGGGGGGGGTGGGGGTTAACGGGTGCCTGGTTCGGGAGCTGTGAGGATGAAGAAGAGCGGGGTGCCCAGCTGACACCATGGCTTGGGCTGCACAAGTCCTCGGGCGTGCGCCGCCCTCCCCGCTAAGAGACACATCAGCCACCTTGTGCTTGCTTTCCCTTTTGTACAAAATATTTACACATCTGTGCCAAGTAAATACAACCGCCAGCGTGTCGGCCCGTAAAGCAGGACTGAAGCGCAGAGAACCTGCACCTTCACTTCTAGCGACTCTAATCCTCGTCAGTGGAGGGTTTTGGTAATGATTTCCAGCCCCAAAGAAGGACACAAAACATGGCGGGGATGTTGAGAATCTCCTTTATGCGCGTGTACACCGGGTGGCCAAGAGCACTTAACAGGGCAATGCTGCATAGGGGACCGAGATGGACACAGACCAAGCGAGAGCCAAGACCCAGCTCCAGAATTTTTCCATGGTTTAGTATAATTTTACATTCTGCATGAATATATATTTTAAAAAAAAAAATAATAATCACAAACCAATCTTTGCTTTGACAGACGAGCCCGTTACAGACAATGTCAAGTTCATTTAAAGCACGAGGAAGTACTGATGATTAGAAAAGCTTTAATTAAAAGGCCATTTGAGCTGCAGCGGAGCCACTGCAGCGCTTCCTTCCTAGGTAAGCTGAAACAAACCCAGCCAAACCCTGCCCCCCGCCCCCCAGCACCATCTCCCGCAGGGCTCATGCCAGTCCTCAGAAAAACCCAGCGGCGCCGCGGGTTGTTTACTGGCGTGACTTTGTTCCTGCGGAAGCCTCGTTTACACAGCAAGGTGTAAAACAGCCTCGACGGAAAGTTTGTTATTTGTAATCATAAATAATTCATTGTAATAAATACGTATCAGGTAACTTTACAGCCCGCGGTTCAGGGCCGAGACGCAGCCGCGTTCCGCGCAGAGGCGCGCTCTGGCAGGAGCGGAGGGCAGTAGCAGCGGGGTTTACTCAGAACCCGGGGCCATGCAGAGATCCCAGACCCCCGCCAGCACCGCGAGCCCACCCAAAGCACTCGGGGCTTGGAACGGGCGACGTCGACCCAAGCCAAACCCTTGGTCCAAGCGCCAGGAAGAAACCCCCAACAGCAGCGTTGTCAGCGACGAGGGACAAGATTGAGGAGTCAACATTCGCCCCGCGCCTCTCTGCGCCTGCGGCGGGGGAGCAGCCTTCCTCCCCACGGGGGCTGGGGGCTCCGGCCGCCAACGACGAGCGCTACAACTGCCATTCGCTCCCAGGAGAACACGGATTCACAGGCTGGGCCTGGCCTTTCGCTCTTCCTCACACCTTCCAAGCACCGCACACTCGTCACGCCCAATATTCACAAGAATGTACAATAAATACAGCTTCTTCACTCCCGCGCCCACTGACGAGCCCGATGGGTGTACGCCGTCTTCCAGAGAGACATGTAACACTGACGGCGAAGTACCGCCGCACGCGCGCCATCGCAGACCTCGCCTGGGGCCGCGCACGCGAAGCGCAGGGGAAGGGAAAGGACCAAGCCCGGCCGCCATTCCAGCACCTTCGCCGCCGTTCCTGAGCACACAGGTTGATTCCCAGGCATGCGCCGGGCTCCAAGTCCTCCACCAAGCCACGCTGTGCTTTTCAACCCGCCCGGCGCGGGGCAACCGCTTGTGTAGGAGTAAGGGAAGATGCACATGGCGCTTCGAGACCACCCCAGAACGTCTTTCCCCAAGAGGCGGAAGTTAAACTTGGAGAATTGCTCTCTTTCCACAGTCTGCTCTTAGCTTTCCACACAAAATAGCAGCTTTGCTCTTCAAAGGCGGCGTTTTGTACCTTCCCCCCGCCTCGTCCTCCTCCCGGGCGTCACATTTTGAGGATAATTCACTCTTAGATCGAAAGAGCATTTCTGAGTACAAAAATGAGTCCCAGGTGTTGGACCACACGCTGGCGATTCCGAAAGCTTGTTCGGAAACAGGATAAAGTCACCGCTTAAAAGCTGAGCTGTGGTATCTTACACCATTACAGAGAGAAGCCATTTTGTTGCTGCTAATATTTTAATTACAATAAATTATCTTGTTACTAAGCAAAGCAGAACATTCAAGAACATCTAGGGCAAGAACCCAACTGAATTGCGGCCCTTTCACTGTTCTTTCAGTCTTCCTCGTGGAGAGCGCCGACCTGAACCCCCCGATGAGCTCCGGCAGCCACCCGTGTGCTTGCTCACAGTTTAAAAAGTTGCAAGAAAATGGTGGAAACACAAACATGCGGCTCGGCAGCGCGTCTTCTGCTCCAAAACTCACCCAACGCTAGAAATTCTGCGCGGTCTCCGCCGGCGACGGAAGAGGTACCGTGCTCTGCTCCTGCCGGCGCCCAGCAGCGATCCCCTCCCCACACCCCATTCCCTCCATTTTTGTACTCAAAAATGTTTCAGGGCAGAGCGACCTCCGAGCCTTCACCTCCGAGCGCTCCCCGACTCCAAACGCCCTCGCTTTTGTGGTGTTTGCATGGGTAAGGTCGTTCTAAATTACAAAATTAGAAATGTACATGTTTCAAGGTTTTTCAAAATTAAATTATACACAAACCGGTCTTTACTAAACTATCCTACAAATATTCCACAAACAAGGCAGCAAAAGAACCAGTCCACCACAAAGTCTACAAATACAAAATGTTAAGTCTTCCAGTAATTATTGTAACGGGAACAAAAGTTCAGAAAATAAATCAACCTCCGGCTCGCCACACAGTGTTACAGGAGGTATTTTTATGTGAATTGCAGGGTTTCCAATGTTAGCGGAGCCACGAAACACCCCGGGCAGTCACCTCCAGGCAGCCCCTTCTCCCGCTCAGCCGCTGAGCGGATCCTCCCGGTAGTGGATGGCGTATCGGAGCTTTTCCAGCATTATGTCCAGCGAGGAGTACTGAGGAAGTTTGATCATGAACATGCACGTTTCGACACGGATGTACCGAGAGTCCGGAGAACCTGGGCGGGGGGAGAAGCACCAGGCAGGGTTGGAGCGCGCCCTGCGCTTCCCACCTGCCTCTCCCGTGGCAGCCCTCCCCCTCGCCCCCCCGTCCCGTACCAAGAAGCATCAAAAAAAAATAAAATCCCTGCCCGTAACTGCACCTCTTGACCCTGAAACACCGCTGTGCTGCTCAGGCAGTCCTCAGGCCGATGGCTTTCCGACAGTTCGAGCATTTTGGAAGCACACTAGGCGAACGCTACACAAAATCTCTTATTGTCTCTAGAGGGCAGTGGTCTAAGTACTGAAAGTTTATTTTAAATACGTTTTTAACGTGGTTTAAACCCAAGTTCGCTCTCTTCTTATTTACAGCCCTACCTACCCGCCTCTCTTCCACCATTTAATGGTTTGAAGCTGCGCCAGGGCAGGTTTAGGTTAGATATTAGGAAAAACTTCTTCCCCAAAAGGGCTGTCAGGCTCTGGAAGGGGCTGCCCAGGGAGGGGGTCGAGTCCCCATCCCTGGGGGGATTTAAAAGCAGGAGAGATGAGGGGCTTAGGGACAGGGTTTAGTGGTGGGATGGCAGGGTTAGGGCAACGGTTGGACTCGATGATCTTAAAGGGCTTTTCCAACCAAAGCGATTCTATGATTCTATGATTAATTACTAAGCATTAAATACACTTTGAAATTAAAGAGAACGGGGAGCCGAAGCTAGCGCCACGCCGCCAGCAGCGCGGATTTTCTTTGCCTGCGGGGGGCAGAGGGCAAACGCACCTGCAGCTCCGTCGGGGGGCGCTATTTTCATGGGGTAGGGCGGGACGTGGGCAGTGTCAGGGCCCCCGTCTTTGCAGGGGCAGGTGAAGGGGATTCGCTCCTGGTTACAGGCGAACTTTATGAACTTGCAGAGCTCCTCCTGAGTGAACATCTCCAACGCGCTCCAGAAAAACTCGATGTGCTGATCTGTCTCCATCAAGCCCACCTGGTACATGGTGTGTGCCTACGAGAGAAGAGAGCCAGACGGCCGCGCCGCTTTCTCCTCCCTTCGTGGATCTTCCCCGCTCACACTCCAAGAGGAGCGGAGGGGAGGGTAACACCACCCCTCTCCCCCCCTTCCCAAAACCAAGAGGAAATCCAGCCGTGCAAGAGCCCACCAGCTGCCGTAACAGGCTCGCCCTCCCCCCCCCCCCCCGC